TTGAGTTGGTGGAGGGCACGTTAGAGACCCTACCCTTGGATGAGGAAGTAGAAGCCGAGGAAGAATTGTAGGGGGAACAGAAAAGTGAGGAAGGTGGCGAGGACAGGGGGAGACTACAGGAGGCTTGATGGAGACAAGGTGTGATGGGGCTGTCGAGCAGCAGATGTGTCCATGCAGGCCACAGACCTGCTCATCCAACATCACTTCAGGTTAAAGGTGCGTGCACAACATGGGAGAGACCGGATGAAGTTTAGATCATTGAGGGCATGGCCTTGTTGCTATCATGCATCTGATGTTCCAGGTGGACAGTGCAGTAACTGGTGATACACAGGGAGAAAAACAAGGTTGTGCTCCTCATATTTACACATATTAAGGGTGGTCAATTCTCCCAGAATCACCAAGAGACTACAGGATTTGCCCTCAGTTTCCCAGTGGCTACTAAAAGCAGCTGAGTGATTTTAACATTGTAGGATTCTATGAATTGATTCCTGGCAGCCACAATGACCATTTAACTGAACAGGAAGGATGAGATGCAATCGCAGACTACACTCCCGTACAGGCGCAGTGAGATGACATGCAGTGTTTGCATTGCGGTCAGGCACGTGTGCTGTGCTCTCAGCACTCGGGTTCTGCTGCTTGCAGCCCTGCTTGTTCTTTTCCCCACTGGTAGCCAGCAGTGTGTCAGAGGACAGCGTCGAGCAAGTCTCGACTCGTGAAGTTGAGAACAATGAGCTCAAATAGCCCAACCAACCAGGGTTTGAGTTACTAGAGGAATAAGCTCTTAAATCAAACATAGCTGCTTAACTTGCCCCTGCTTGAACTTGCCCCTGCTGAACTTGCTTGGAAAATGCACACGTTATATAGTACAGCATCTAGACAGCTCCAGTTCATTCCAAGTCACATCCCAGCTGGAAAAGTCCCCCGAGATGCCAGAACTTGATGTAAGAGGAAGAACTGGTCCCAACTTCCTACATTTTGCTGCTGGGTTGGAAAAATTGCATTGATATGGCCTAACAGCCAACCTCCGAAGCCTTCGACAAGAAACTAAGAGACTCATACAGCAAGGAAACAGACCCTTCAGTCCAACTTGTCCTTGCCGACCAAGTTCCCCAAACTAAATTAGTCCTCCTCGCCTGCGTTTGGCCCATATCCCACTGAGCCTTTCCTATGTCTTTCAAATGTTGTAACTGTACCTGCATCTACCACTTCATTTGGCAGTTCATTCTACAAATGAACCACCATTTGTGTGAAAAGGTTGCCCCTCAGGTCTCTCCCACCCTAAAAATATACCCCTAGTTTTAAACTCACACACCCTAGGTAAAAGACCTTTGCTATTCACCTTATCTATGCCCCTCACGATTTTATAAACCTCTATAATGTCATCCCTCAAACTCCTACACTCCAACGAAAAGGTCCCAGCCTATCCAGACTATCCTTCTGACTCAAACTCTCCAGCCCTGGCAACATCCTGGTAAATCTTTTCTGACCCTTTCCAATTTAATACTATCCTTACTATAGCAGAGCAACCAGAACTGTACACAGTACTGCAAAAGTGGCCTCATCAATGGCCTGTACAACCTCAAGAGGATGTCCCAACTCCTCTACTCAATGGTCTGAGCAATGAAAGCAAACTTGCTAAATGCCTTCTTAACCAACCTGTCTATCTGTGATGCAGCTTTCAAAGAACTATGAACCTGAATCCCTAGGCCTATCTATTCAACAACACTACTCAGTGTCCTACCATTCAGGGTCTCAGACTGGAGCCAAGGTCATTTGATAAAAAGAGAGTTGTTGCTGATATAAATCTAGCTTAGAAGGAAGCCAGCCTAGTATCCATTTAAACTATTAACATAGGTCAAAAAATAAGGCTAAAATTTAAAAAAGATGGCTTTATTACACACAGTTTGGAAATGACGGGTCAATCAATGATATCTTGTTTGGAGGAAAAACATCTCATGGAACAGCTGAAGTCTGAGTTGGCTGCCCTAACTACTTATTGAATGATCAGAAAATAATTATCCCATTGAGTTGATTTTGTAATTTGGGTTGCCATAGACATACGAACATGATGTTTCATTGCACTCTATTGTGTAAATGCACAGCATGAATTGATCAAATGGTTGACCGGACCAAGACAGGGAGTGAGTTTACCAAATGCACAGTGAAGGGTTTCTTCACTTGCTTAAAGACGACATATAACCTCAGTATTGATGGCAATGCCTTTGTCAATGTGTCAAGCCTATTGACTAACATGCTGCTGAAAGAAGCCATTGACATCTACACAGAATCATTGCTATATAACTGGCATTTTTGAGTCTTTATTTATTGAATTTATGTACTTCGTAATTTGTGCAGTAAAGTTCTGTTTTAGTGACAAATGTTCACAAACATTGAATCTGCAGCTGTGTGTAAGGATTTCCTTACATACTTTATTTCCTCCATCCTTTGACTGTATGTGCTCAAATTCACATATTAGATGGAGCTGTCGAATGCACTCTCAATCCTCACTGTGCTTGTTGCTAAGACTTAACGGGTTCTCCCCTGCTGATCTATGCAAACTTACCTTCACCAGTCGATGTTGCTGCTAGAATTGCATCTCCACACAGTATGAAATTCACCTTATCAGCAGTCTTGCAAGTAGGGCCATTGCTATTTGCTGACATTACAAGCTTGATGCAGAAATAGAAGGTGTCAAGGTTATTCTGCAGGACAATGGCTATCGTGTTCAGGTCAATATTTACTGTGTATGGTGCAAGCTCACAAATGAGCAAAAGGTCACCACTTTTAAACCTGTAAAGTACCTGGTCTTCCTCAAACTACACAGGAAAGAAGAAGTATTTTAAAAGAGACTGTTATCCCTCACCTCAATGCAGACACACAAAAATAGCTGACGCTTTAAAAATGTTTTGTTTTTATTGTCTATCCTTTGCAATAATGAAAGTGCCATGTAACTTAGACAATTTATCAGAACTGCAGAGTGTGCACAACATTAGAACCTGTGAAGCCAATAACCAAGAAGTCCAGTTTTATTTCAGTTCCTTGAAAGAAACTTAGACACTTAATTTTATGGTTTACCCTTGGTTATTATGATAAGTGTTTGTTGCGAATTGTGTGGCTAGGTTAAGTTGTTGCTGCTAGAGGGCAGCTCATGAAAGATAAATTAAAGGGCCCATGCACTCAACGAATCGACCCCACACTACAATTAAATAAAAGGACACTTTGGTTACATTTCAAATGGCTGTCTGGAGTCAGATTTAATGCTCCTCACTGAGGGTGAGGTAGAGGGCGTATTAAATCCAGTGGCAGGAGTCATGCTGCACGGCCCATTGAGGCCCTAATGTGGGCAGCTAGCAGCTAGAGAGGCCAATGCCAAGTGAGCAGCCTGGCAGGTTTTCCTGCACGGGCAAGTGGTAGGCAGGCCTCCTTAACTATCCCTCTAGGCCAATCAAAGGTCCTAGCCACCCACCCCGAATCACCCAGAAGGTAGTTGAGAGTCAACCGCATTGCTGTGGGTTTGGAGTCACATATAGGCCAGACCAGGTGAGGATGGTAATTTCTTTACCTAAAGGATGTGAGTGAACCAGATGGGTTTGTACAACAATGGACAATGGTGGCCACTGCGTTGGCTTTAAATTCCAGATTTGTTTTTATTGATTTGAAATTGCACCATCTGCCATGATGGTGTCACTCTACCAGGCTCCCTACACCACCATAGTGTCTAACATCTGCCCCCTCACTGACCCTTGGCCCCAACACCTCAAACAAAATCCTAACCCAAAACAGACTACTTCCTCAATTCCCACATGTAGCCTTGCCTTGACAACAGTGGTGATCCTGGTACATGGTACTGTCGGCCTCTGATTGAGCAGCAACTACCTGAGGAGGGATTTTTATTTATTCACTCATGGATTGTGGGCACCCCCTCACTGACAGGCATTTCTTACTCATCCCTAGTTGCCTTTGAGAAGGTGGTGATGAGCTGCTGCTGTGCTGTGTTTAAGAGGCACAGATCCTGCCTCCAGGCTAATGAGTGCCCGGGCGATCTCCCACTACCCCTGACTTTTTAAGCTGAGGGTTGCAGGATCACAACACTTTGTATAACTCAGCTGCTGATTTCAGAATCTGGATTGACTGTATTTCCATGTTAGAATCTGCATAATACATTTACACATCGTGATCATACTGATGCACATGCTACAGATCTGTGTAACGTTTTGCTTCAGCCCATGATTCGTTTTGGATATATTTTAGAACCGCAGTCATGTTGAGGATACAAAATGAAATATGTGAAAATGCTGAAAATAGACAGCAAGATAGGTCAGCAACTGAAAGGAGAAACTAAAAGGTTAATATTTAAATGTTGTTACCTTTTGATTTATTTCTGTTATTGATGGACTTGGTGTGTATTTCCAGCATTTTCTCTGTTCCAATTTCAGATTTTCAGGATTTCTTATATATAGGTAATTGTAAAGTGGTTGGTCTGAGGGGAATATCAGACAAAAAGAAACATGGAGCAACTGTTTCCTTTCTTTTGTTTGGTTACAGTTCAGAATAGGCTGCCTGTAGTTAGATTGCACATTGAGAACTGCATTGTGAGTAACTCCAGCTTCTTCTGCTATTTAATGACACAAGCAAGCTACACTTATCCATAAATAGTTTAACGCTACAAACTTAGAATAAATTGACTTCACTTCAATATTTGTTGAATTGGAGCCAAAAAACTTGTGTGAATGACCCATATGGTGGTATTATTTTAAATAATTGCTTTTTTTAGTGGAGATTCAAGTTTGATCAGAATTTTGAGTAAAATTAGACAGTCACATTATGGTAAAAGCTGCTGAGATACAAGTACCAATTTAACCACATTTCAGTTAAATGGAAATAATGCTTACATTTAGAAATTGGAATTATCAGTACAAAGTATGAAACTCTGATGTGAATGCATCTATTTACTGTGCACGGGTAGTAAACATTAATCATTGCTGTGTTTTGGATTTCAGAGTGCTCCACAGTTACCATGTGCTAAGGCTCTCTACAACTATGAAGGGAAGGAACCTGGCGATCTTAGTTTCTGCAAAGGTGATCTCATCATTCTACGACGTAAGGTGGATGAGAACTGGTATCATGGCGAGCTTAATGGTACCCATGGCTTTTTCCCAGCTAGTTATATTCAATGCATCAAGCCTCTTCCACAGCATCCACCTCAGGGCAAAGCACTTTATGACTTTGAAGTAAAGGATAAAGAGCAAGACAAGGACTGTTTGACTTTCTCAAAGGTAAAATAGTTATTGAACAAATGTACCAAATATCAGTTTTTAAGCAGGAAATGTTTTATATTTACCCAGTTAGTGTATGATCATAAAATGAGCTTCCCACCCATCTCTGCCATCTAGCAGTGTTGGAAAGCACTATATAAGAAAATTTTAGAACTTTTGTAACTATCTAACAATAATGTTGCATTGCTAAGGCAGATCCTTGCATTCCTTGAAAAGTAAGATAAATAAGGGCTCATGCTCCTGAATTTTACAGAAGTTATGGCCGTAGTAAAAATGTTCCAAAATATCAATCAATTTACCTAACATCCATATTATGCGTTCCATTTACCCACATCTATCTCAAAGCCCATTTTTGCTCTTCAGTTCAGATGTTCCTCTGACACTTGTAAAGGTTTGTCAAGTAACAGATTAAAATTATGTAAATAACTATTCAATAACTGTGCATATTCAGTTGTAAACCATAAATTGCTGGAAAAGCTCAGGAGGTCTAGCAGCATCTGTGGAGAGAAATCAGAGTTAACATTTCAGATCGAGTGACCCTTCCTCAGAACATTCTGAGGAAAGGTCACTCGCTCCATAATGTTAACACTGATTTCTCTTTACAGATGCTGCCAGACATGCTAAGTTTTTCCAGCAATTTCTGTTTTTGTTTCTGATTTACAGCATCCACTGTTCTTTTGGTTCCTATCCAATTGTATTTGGGTTGCCACTGGTGTTGCAAGATATGTATTATAACTGAGAAAATGAGATTTAGCTTTCGATCATGGTGGAACAAGTTTTGAATGCGACTTCACTTTACGCTAAAGTTCAGTTACAGACATAGATTTCAGCTAGCTGTAGTATTCAGGCAAAAGTCGGGTCCAATGTGACCTACAACTGTCAGCTTAAGTAAAATAACAGTTTGCACACAATAGAAAATATATAAATGACTAGATTGGTTTCTCAAGTTGACATCAATTGTTGAACAATCTACAGAGGTAATTCATAATCACTTTGCATTCACTTCAAAATATCTGAAGACATTTCTGTCTCAATTTGTTCCACATTCTGTAGACATGGCCTATAATGCCCTGTTTTAGTGCTGACAAAATGTTAAAGTAATCCAAGATGAAGGACGGGAAAAAATTGTGGCTGTAAGAGCTGCTTGTTTTTTTGAGTTAGTTTCAATGTGGGAGCTGATTTCCTTAAATTATAGGAGCAGTAATTACTGTTTTATAAGCTGTTGCATTGTTTTGGAACTTTGGGGGAAAAAAATCAAAACAACAGCACTTTAAAAAGGAGGAAGAGAGACAAAGGCAGTGACCATATGAGAAGTGATTCAAATGGAGAAAGAAACCTAGACTGCCATCTGACCCAGCAAAAACCTGCATAGCTGTTGCCTTTGCTATCTGGTTTCAAGTATCTCTGGACATCGGAGTTCATTCTAAGGAAAATAAACAAACAGCAAAATTCATAGCTGACCTTGAAGAAACCTGTGTGTGGGAGCTCACGGCAGGGGAGCAGCTAAGTGGCTTTTTAAAGTGTCACTTTACTGTTTTTCTTTTGTAAATCTACAATAGTGAGTACATGGGTTTCTTTTTGATTAAATGTTGTTATTGAGATCTGTCTTTTGATTAAACTTTAAAAATATAAAAACAAAGGTACTAAGCTAACCTGGAGCAGTGCTTTTAGAGCAGTAAGACTGTGCAATTTTCTGGGTCTGTGGATTGTTAAGGTGAAAAAGTGGCCTTTTGTAGACTGATATGTTGTCCCTGTTGGATCTGGGAGTTTAGGGAGCATTTCCATGTTACTAATGATTATCTCTGCAGGAAGTGTGTTTGGTTGCGAATCATTTGGATCGCATGGATCCATTCGAGCAGAAGTTAGAGGCAATGGGGAATTTATAAGAGCTAGGGAGTATGATGGAAAGGCAGATGCAGGAAGGGAGATAAACCGAAGATACAGTCAGGTAGATGGGTGACGTCCAGGAAAGGTAGGAGGGATAGGCAGATAGTGCAGGAGTTTCCTATGGCTATCCATATTTCAAACAAGTGAGCTGTTTTGGAAAATTTAGGGGGTGATGGACTCTCAGGGGAATGTAGCACTGGCAGCCAGGTTTCTGGTACCAAGACTGGCTCTAATGTAATGAGGGGCACGCCAGATTCCAACCGATCGAGTGTAATGGTGGACTTTCTAGTCAGAGGTGCAGACAGATGATTCTGCAGCTGACAGCAAGACATCAGAATGGGGTGTTGCCTCCCTGGAGCCAGGGATTTCTCAGACAGGGTGCAGAATATTCTCAAAGGAGAGAAGGGCCAGCAGGAGGTCATTGTACACATTGGAACTAATGACATAGGAGGAGAAAAGGATGAGATTCTGAGGAGAGAATATAGGAAGTTAGGCAGGAATTTAAAAAGTAATTCCTTGAGGGTCTTTTTAAGTCTTTGACAGGATGATGGTGTCGCTGGCTAGGCAGCATTTATTGCCCATCCCTAATTGCCCAGGGGGCAGTTAAGAGTCAGCCACATTGCTGTGGGTCTGGAGTTACATGTAAGCCAGACCAGGTAAGGATGGCAGCTTCCTTCCCTAAAGGACATTAGTGAACCAGATGTTTTTTTTTCCCCCAACAATCGGCAATGGATTCATGGTCATCATTAGACTGTTAATTCCAGATAATTATTGAATTCAAATTCTACCATCTGCCATGGCGGAATTTGAATCCAGGACCCCAGAACATTATCTAGGTCTCTAGATGAATAGTCCAGTGATAATACCTCTAGGCCATTGCCTCCCCATAATATCTGGATTGGTCCCAGTGCCACAAGCTGGTAAGGGTATGAATGGGAGGATAGAGCAGATGAATGTGTGGCTGAGGAGCTGGTGCAGAGGAGAAGGATTCACATTTTTGAATCATTGGAATGTCTTCTGTGGTAGAAGTGACCTGTATCAGAAGGATTGATTGGAAAGGAACTAATGTACTAGTGGGGAGGTTTGCTAGAGTTACTCAGGATTTAAACTACTAAAGGGTGGTGGGATACAGGGAGATAGTAAGGAAAGAGATCAGTCTGAGACTGGTACAGTTGGAAAAAGGAGTAAGTCAAACAGACCGGACAGGCAGGAACAAAGTAGAGAACGAGGTAGGACTAAACTAAATTGCATTTTTTTCAATGCAAGAGGCCTAACAGGTGAGGCAGATGAACTCAGGGCATGGTTAGGAATATGGGACTGGGATGTCATACCAATTACAGAGGCATGGCCCAGGGATGGACACGACTGATAGCCTAATGTTCCAGGACATAGATGCTATAGGAAGGATAGAAAAGGGGGGCAAGGGAGGAAGGGGAGTGGCATTTTTGATTTGGGATAACGTTATGGCTGTATTTAGGAGGATCTTTCAGGGATTAGGTGCAGGGAAGTTATTTGGATGGAACTGAGAAATAAGAAAGGGATGACTACCTTATTGGGATTGTACTACAGACCCCCCAGTAGTCAATGGGAAATTGAGAAACAAATTTGTAAGGAGATCTCAGTTATTTGTAAGAATAATAGGGTGGTAATGGTAGTGGATTTTAACTTTCCAAACATAGACTGGGACTGCCATAGTGTTAAGGGCTTGGATGGAGAGGAATTGGTTAAGTGTGTACAAGAAAATTTTCTGATTCAGTATGTTGATGTACCTACCAGAGAAGGTGCAAAACTTGACCCATTCTTGGGAAATAAGGCAGGGAAGGTGACTGAGGTGTCAGTGAGCGAGCGCTTTGGGGCCAGTGACCATAATTCTATTGGTTTTAATATAGTGATGGAAAAGGATAGACTGGATCCAAAAGTTAAAGTTCTAAATTGGAAGAAGTTCAATTTTGACGGTATTAGCTAAGAACTCTCAAAAGTTGATTGGGGGCGGATGTTCACAGGTAAAGGGATGGCTGGAAAATAGGAAGCCTTCAAGAATGAGATGAAGAGAGTCCAGAGGCAGTATGTTCCTGTTAGGGTGAAGGGCACGGCTGGTAGGTGTAGGGAATGCTGGATGACTAGCGAAATTGAGGTTTTGGTCAAGAATAAGAAGGAAGCATTTGCCAGGTATAAACAGCAGAAATCAAGTGATTCCCTCGAAGAGTATAAAATATAAATAGTATACTTAAGAGGGAAATCAGGAGGGCAAAAAGGAGACATGAGATAACTTTGGCAAACGCGGTTAAGGAGAATCGAGAGGGATTCTACAAATACATTAAAGACAAAAGGGGAACTAGGGAAAGGATTGGGCCCATTAAAAATTGGCAGGGCCATCTATGTGTGGAAACACAGGAGATGGGATAGATACTAAACGAGAATTAACCATCAGTGCTTATTGTGGAGAAGGATATGGAAGGTAAAGAACTTGAGGAAATAAATTGCGACCTCTTGAAAAATGTCCAAATTACAGAGGATGAGGTGCTAGATGTCTTAAAAAGCACAAAAAGGTGGATAAATCCTACAACTCTGTGGGAAGCAAGGGAAGTGATTGCTGGGCCTCTTACTGAGATATATGTATCATCGATAGCCACTGACAAGGGGCTGGAAGACTGGAGGTTGACTAACGTGCTGCCACTATTTAAGAAAGATGGTAGGGAAATGCCAGGGAACTATATACCGGTGACCCTGGCATTGGTGGTAGGCAAGTTGTTGGAGGGAATCCTGAGGGACAGGATTTACATGTATTTTGAAAGGCAAGGACTGACTAGGCATAGACAACTGGCTTTGTGCATGGGAAATTGTGTCTCACCAACTTGATTGAGTTTTTTGAAGAAATAACAAAGAGGAGTGATGAAGGCAGAGTGGTGGACGTGATCTATATGGACTTCAGTAAGGCGTTCAACAAAGTTCCTCATGGTAGACTGGTTAGCAAGGTTAAATCACATGGAATATGGGGAGAACTAATCATTTGAATACAGAACTGGCTCAAAGGTAGAAGACAGAGGGTGGTGGTGGAGGGTTGCTTTTCAGACTGGAGGCCTGTGAACAATGGTGTGTCACAAGGATTGGTG